ATTTTCAAGTTAAAATCCAGCATCCTATCACAAGCACATTATTATTGATTGATATATTTTCAAAACGAGACCCAAAACTCAAGCTCTTTCGAATAGTTGATTATTCTTCTTTAGGAGAACAAAGGAAAAGAAGAATGGTCAAGTAATCGAAAGCGCTCGAGTTTTGAGTCTCGTTTTGAAAATATTACAACTTTTGTAGGTGATCCCGTGTGCTAACTACTTAACCTGTATTACTGAATTGGTAGTATGATACTATACAGATAGTCAGTTTATATCTGTAATTGATCTTGGAACCATGTGACTCGTAAGCCTTAATACAAGACAATTGTCTGTAAACGTAGTTTGAGAAATAAAAAACATCCTTTCAATATGTTTTACATGTAATTACTTTTCACACAGAATTATATAATGTTTAATGTGTTACTCAACCAATATTGTTTTTCAGTAGCTGACAACTTTTCGTAAAGCTCACCGTGAAAGTTACGTTATCTTTAATCTTTTCAGGAATAGGAGGAAGTGGAAGACAAAGTGTAACTAAATTAGCCACTTTCATGGCTGGTTACGAGTTATTTCAAATAGAAATCACCAAGAACTATGCTGTCAGCGAGTGGAGAGATGATCTGAAGAAGGTATGAAAGTTTTAAAGCTCTGTTTTTTTCTGTACAACTTCTGTTTTCTGTCATAATACAAGAACATAATAACTGGCTTTTTGTAAAAGTATGGTTAGAGTGAAATTCAAATTTAACCTAATATTGTAATGAATATAGCTAATTAAATATAATATTATTATTACATTCTTATTTATGAAGATTAAAATGTATTGTTTTATCAGGTGTGTTTCCTTGCTGTTAAAGATATTTAACAAGGTTTGGCCAGCAGAGGAAATTTCTTAAACTTTGCAAAATAACCTTTATAATAAAAACATAATTATATATATATATATTAAATATTCTAACCAATAATTTTGAAGAAAGTAACAAGTTTTTATTGTATATTAGTAGTTCTGTAAAATATATAGGCTCATAACTAGGCCAGTTATAACTGTCACTAAACCTTCAGAAGTTTTTACTTTATATTAGTAGTTCTGTAAAATATATAGGTTCATAACGAGGACGGTTATAACTATCACTAAACCTTCAGAAGTTTTTACTTTATATTAGTAGTTCTGTAAAATATATAGGTTCATAACGAGGACGGTTATAACTATCACTAAACCTTCAGAATTTATTATTTTATATTAGTAGTTATTTAAATTATATAGGTTCATAACGAGGACGGTTATAACTATCAC